CTCTGATTGCTCCTGCCTCCAGCAGGTTTCCCACTTCTTCTGCCACTATTTTAGCATGGTGGAGTGCTGACCTGCGAGCGCGCTGAATGATTGGCCTGGCGGATGGGTGGACATTGAGTTGGTGACAGATGAAGTTTGGATCAATGCTTGGCATGTCGTAGGGTGTCCAGGAGAACACTTCGATGTTAGAGGTCAAAAATTTCAAGACCTCTAATTTCTCAGTGCTGGACAACGACGAACCGAGCAAGAAGAACTTATCCGGGTTCTTTTCATCTATTCTTACCTCTACCAAATCTTCCACCGCTTTTTGATCAGCTGCTCTGCCGACATCTGCGAACAGTTCATTACTCTCAGGTTCTTCCACCGAATGAACATATCCCTTGGCAGCGCGGCTGCCATTAGCCGTGACAAAGCATTGCTTGGACATAATCTGGTCTCCAAAGACCTCTTCAATTACTCCAGTTCCGTTGAGGAACCGCATTACTTGATGGTAGGATAATGCTACTGATTTCATGGCATGGAGCCATGTTCTTCCCAAGATTATGTTGTAAGTGGAAGGGACTTTCAATACCCAAAATTCCACTTGTTTTGTCACGCTTCCTACCCTGACTGGCAGGATAATTTTGCCGACTGGCCATTCTGGCATTGAGTTGAATCCGATCAGGGGGGATACAGCCGGTGCCAGGTCTTTGTCCTCCAATTTCAGTTGTTTGAAGGTGTCGTAGTACATTATCTCATACGAGCTGCCTTGGTCTATCAGAATTCGTTTGACGTCATAATCCTTGATGCGGAGGGTGACGACCAGTGCATCGTTGTGGGGGCAATATATTCTTTCCAAGTCCTTATCTGAAAAAGACATGACGTTTGTGACCTCCGTTCTCCCCTTTTTGATGGTAGGTTGGGCACTTAGTACCCCCCTTAAGTGCTCAGCCTTCTTGATCGATCCTCTGAGCTCGCATACACGCTCAGGTTCGAATACTCCATGTATCACATTGATCACACCTTGAGGTGGGGCGTCAATTGGCATTCCATTGGGGTTATTGTGATCCTGGGGGGCTAGTTGCGTCCCTCCTTCAATGTATTTATCCAGGTGACCGGTTGCCACCAACTCCTCCAGATGCTGTCTCAATGGCATGCAATTTTCAGTGCGGTGCCCCTTTTCTTTGTGGAAGGTGCATCGCGACCTTTCGTCGTAGTCTTTCTGTGCTTCTCCTAGCTTCGCTGGCCATTTGACGAAAGGCTCATCGCGTATTTCACTCAGAATCCGGTAGATCGGTTTCTTGAATACCGTGGTTATGGCTATGCGGATTCTTAACCATCTTTTATCCTGGTCTTCTCCGTTGTCTTGCCTGCTTCGTCCGTTTTTGTTCGGACGCTCTACCGTGTTGATCTTTGCTGCGGTCTTTTTATCTGGTACTACGGTTGTGCCAGATTTTGTTTTTGCACGGGCGCCATCCTCCTCCACCCTGATGTGCTGATGCACTATTTCCATCAAGGCCTCCATGGTGAGGGGCGGTGTCATGGTGATTGAGTCTCTTAGTCTGTTTCCGACTGGAAGGCCTCTTTTGTATTGTGCAATGGCGAGATTGGTGGGGCAGTCCCCAATCTGGTTGAATGTCTCCCAATAGCAACTATTGTAGGATCTTAGTGTCTCCTTTTCACCCATGTCGATGGAGAGTAACTGGTCAATCTCCACCGGGGTTTTGGTGTTCGTTCTGAACCTCGTGGCGAACGCCTCCGCCAATTGTGCCCAGGAGGCTATGCTGCCTTCTGGAAGTTTTTCGAACCAAGTTAAACCTAGATCACCAAGGCTTGATGGGAAGAGGATGCACATCAAAGCCTCGTTTCGCCGATATACCGCCATAACCTGGCGGAATTGGCTTAGGTGTATATAGGGGTCCGTTTTCCCCTCGTACGTGGTGAATTTGGGCTGAAGGAAGCCTGAAGGTAGGGGCGCATTTTCTATTGCCGGAACGAACGGTGAGGTCGGCAGTCTTGCTAATACTTTGTCCGTTGGTTCGTAGGCAGGGTGCGGTAATGGCATTCCAACCTCGACGCTTCCATGCGTCCGAGGAGCCAACCGCTGAAGGGCAGATACCCTGCGAGGGTCGCGCGCCCTATTATCCTCCTTCAATCGTGCCTTTTCTTCCAGCATGATTCGCAAATCGGATGATTTGGACAACTCCGTTTGCCTGGATGATGTCTGGTGCGAGCGCGAGGGTCGATAGGTACTTCCCTCTGTGTAAGACCTCAATGATCTCATTCTCTCAGACCTGGAGTAACGAGTTCTGGAGGTTCTAGACTGAGTATCGCCTGTCCTAAGGCTTCTACTCTCTGCTTGTGAAGGTGTGGAATGCCTTCCATGGTCTTCTGAGCGGCGAGGAGGCGTCTTGCTTTTGCGCCCCTCTCCTGTCGCCACTCCTTTTCCCTTCATCTGGGGCTTCATGGCCTCTATGTCCACCGCCATCTTCCTTATTAATTCATCTTGCTCCTTTACGCGGTCCTCCAGAACTTGAGGATCAATCCTCCGCCTTTGTCTGTCAGGACTTCGTGAACGAGAGTGACGAGGGCTGTTAGTCCGCCTCCTCCCCCTTGTATCCCTCTTGGGATTTTGTCGCTGTGGCTCCAAGTCCGCCATGGGAAGGATAGAAGGTAGGCCTTCGCGCCTTGCACCCCCCTGTGGTGTTTGTTCATCGATGGCGGACTGCGGTAAATCTTCATTGTGCGCCATTGCTTCTAAAAAGGAGAAGCTTGATCAAGAGGTTTTGTTCTTGTCTGATTTCCCACAAACGGCGCCAATTGTACGGGAAAGAAATAAACCTTCTCGTATAATCCTGTTGATCAAGTCTGCGCTCCTCCAAACGTTGTCACTTTACTCCTTGAAAACACAAACGTGAGCTAGCCGGCGGGTGTGTGCCGGAAGCCCCTCCGATGCCTAAGTCAACAAAATAGACAAGTAAACAAAAAGCTTTATGTATCAAAGTTGTGTTACCTCCCCATAGGTGATATTTGTGAGCTTTTATAGGTTCCGTGTGGCACAATCCAAGTAGGACTCTTACTCCTCCATGTAGAGTCCTCCTAGGATTCATACTCCTGAAAGATAACGCTTATCCTTCAACACCTCCTCACTGCTTAAACCAAGTGAGATGGTTTTACCATGGTTGGATTCCACTATGCCCGAGGTAAGCATGGCTAATGCTAAGCCGCAGACTAGACCGAGCTAACTTTAGTTCGGCTCTTCCATTCATTGCTCTTACCCAGGTTTCTCCTAGCGCCAACCATGGTGTGATCAGACCGAGCTATCAAACAACACGGTTCTGGCCGAGATAACCTCGATAAGCCAAGACCGGGCTAACTTTGAATACGGCAACCGAGCTATGTTCAAAGCTTCCTTTAGACCGGAGTAACCTCAAGATTCTCTCGGACTGGAGTAACTTTATACCTCTCTTGGGCCGGAGTAACTTTACACCTCTCTTAAGCCGGAGTAACTTCATGGCCTTTTTACTCAGTCCTTCGCAACATGGCCCATAACGGCCCATTACCCAGCTCGACCCAATTTATAAGTATAAATTATCCTCTCAATGACATATTTGTGATGGTTAAGATTTTGCTAGAAAGGTTGCAAGTGAAAAGGGAAAGGGATGAGAGTGGAAGGCCACAGTGACAGTGAGGGAGTGACAATGGTAAAACTCAAAAGAAAAGTGAAATGGGTGACAGTGAGATGTAGGTGGAAGGCCATGGTGACAGTGAGAGAGTGACAATGGTAAAACTCAAAAGAAAAGTGAAATGGGTGACAGTTAGATGTAGATGGAAGGCCATGGTCACAGTGAGGGAGTCACAATGGTAAAACTCAAAAGAAAAGTGAAATGGGTGACAGTGAGATGTAGGTGGTGATTAATTAAAGTTTTGACAAAAATGAAGAAAGAGGGAGATTGTGAGAGGAATGATACAAAATGATCTCGAGAAAATGTGATTTCATGAGTTTTTAAATAAAATTTTAAATTGCCAATTGTCTTGCAACTAAAATTTTTTATTCCTCATTTGTAATTTTTATACCCGTTTTACTTGAATTGTAATTTTTTTATTAAAAATAAAATAAAGGCCAACACTGTTTGAGCGCGTAATATTGGGCAAATTAGATAGAGAGCACTTATTTAATAGCGTTTAATATGGTGAATTGGTAAAAATATGTACTTATCAGTTGCATTTCAGATTTGGATGTATTTATGAGCCCATATAAATGAGCAAAGCTTGTTTTTCAGTGTTATTTATTTATTTATTTTGAGATAAATTACATTTGCTTGCTTGAGGTTGTCAGAAAATATAATAATTTTTACAGTTTATAATTAGAGCAATGTTCTATGCATAAAAGCTCTTACGTGGAGATGGGATTGCTGTAATGTGGGATTCACTCTCATGTAATGACTTCTGTATAAATAGCATTTTTGGTATAATTATATTGAGTTATTTCAAATTTTAATTCAGGTAATACTTTGTGTCTTTTTCATCAAAAATTAATCTTATTAAGAAAGAGATTGATATAATTAAATCAAAATAATGGAGTTTTTTGTATTTTTTTTTTCAAATGTCGCTATAATTTATCAATGTAATTATGTGAATTAAAATTTTTAAAAACACAATATAATTATACCAAAATTATCATCTTACTGTATTTTTTCTAAAATTTAAGAGGCCAATGTAATTTTAAAAAAAAAAAGTAGACTGAATCAAGAAAGAAAATTCTTCATTGTCAAAGTGTCATTGTTGCTATTTTTTTTTTTTTAAGTGCTGCTATTAGCACTTATCAAAATTTTTTGGATCCCCCATTTCTTTGGACCCCAACTCTAAATCCTAAATTTTAATAATATTTTTTTGAACACCCCACTTATTACCAAATCTACCCATATTCATAATATTTTCACAATGAAATGCGCACCTACCTAATTTTCCATCCCTCTCCTTCCCTGACTCACTCAATCTTCAGAGTTTGGAGCTTTGGTTCAGTATAGAATTCTTGGACCCCAACCCTCCATCACTCTCGTCGCCGTCTCGGCCGTCAGCGGAGCATTCCGCCGACTCTCATCTTCTCTGAACGCTCTCCGTATCGCCGAATTAGTAACCTCTCTCATCCTCTTATCATCATCTTCTTTGTTGCTTTTTGTATCTTCGTCATCATTGAGATCGATCGAAGATACTCCAATTTCTACGTGATTTGTATAACCGTTTGCAAGATGAGGAAAAACAGAATCATCGTCTGAATCGCCATCAGAATTCTGAATGTAATCGCCATCAGAATTCTGAACGTAGCTCAAAACAATTGGTTCACCATTGTGTAGCCGAAAAAATGTATTTTGTTCAGAACTGTTTTGTCAAACAATAATGATTCTATCAGCACTGTATGTCCGAACAAAATTTGTTCATCACTGTGTAACTTGAATCCATTCCAATTCACAACTTAAAATAACATGAATTAAATCCATTCAAAATACATTACTTAAATCCATTCTAATTCACTCTTTTCCATTCTAAGTTAGTTTAACAAAGAAAACTACATAACGATTATCTGCATTAATATTCGGAACCTACGTATTGAACGAAAGGATTATGTTCAGTACTGTATTACCGAACATAATTCTAACAGTCAACAAATCAGTACCGAACAGCTCGAACGAAACAAGAACGACCGAAAACGACCGAGAATGTTAATGCAAGACAGATAAACTTATAAGATGATGAAGTATACGTTATACTTGAAGCAAAACTTTCAAGTTCAATAGCGTTGATGAAGGTAATGAAGATGACACATTCAAGATTTAAGATGATTATGAAAAATAATAGATTTAGAGTTTATGTTAGTTGGTTATGAAAAGTAATAGGTTTAAGATTTACAAACATAGAATACGTATAGTCGGAGTTGGAGGTGGGGGTGAGGGTGGGTGTCCAATATTATAGAGTATTAGTTCTTATTGATAGGTGTATTTTTTTAGAAATATGAAAGAAGATTTGGGTTTCTATGAATAGCTGGGTCTATCATATGATATCTTGTTATTTTTTGGAAAATATTTGAAATTTTCATAATTTTTTCACAATTCAATCCATAATGCTATAATTTGACAAGTATTAATTTTTAATCAGTTTTTTTTTTGAAGTTAATTTTTAATTAGTTAAATATTTAATAATATGAAATTCATCACCCTTGTCATATCATTATGATTACATTTATAGATACAAAATGTAAATCTCTAGTATTGTTGGTAAATTAAAATGCACCATTCTATATTTGTTCACTGGGTGTGTTTGATTGGGGGATTAGGGGGAGACTATTCACTATTCGGATTACTTATTCGAAGGAGTGAGTAGTTCATCGTTTGTTTTTTTTTAATCCGCCGGACATGGAGTCCGACCGGACTCCTTATCTCCCATCTGGGGGATTATACTATCCCGGGGGGGTGTGTGACAGTTTTGGGGGGACAATTTACTGTTGGGATTAGGTGGTGAAATAACCATTTTGACCATCTACTATTTAATTATGTATTATATTTAGTAAAATTCAATAAAATTTAAATGTCTCAATTTAAAAATAAAATAATTTTATTTAACCTTTTATTGATGTTTTATTTATTTATTTTTAAATAATTTTTTATAGATATTTTATTGATGTTTTATTTTAAAATTTTGTTTATATTTTATTTAATTTCATTATTTAAATGTTAATAGATGTTTTATTTAAAATTTTAATTAAAAAAATAATATAAATTTTTTATACAGGTTATACAGTATTTTATTAAATCAAATTTAGTGGTTATACAGGTTATACAGTAATGATTTATTAAATAATATAAAAATAATAATTTAAATTTTTATTGATATTTTATTTATTTATTTATTTAATTTTTAAAAGATAAATTTATTTAATTGTGTAAAAAATAAAATAAAATAAATTTTTATTTAATCTAACTAAAAATAATTAAAATATTAAAGATATGTTTAATATTGCTATTACTTAGTAAACAATTGAAAAATGGTAAAATAGTCTTTTGTTGATTTATCCTATCCAGTCCGTCCAACCAAACGTTGGATTCACTACAAATAGTGCTTTTCAGACATCTAATCCCATGAAAAAATAAACACAGGATACATATCCAATCCAACCAAATAGTCCGAGGGATTCACAGTCCCAAGAATCAAATCCGATGAATTCTAATCTCCCCTTATCCAGTCCGTCCAATCAAACAGTTAGTTAAAGAAATGGAAATTTTCAATATAAATGGTATGCCATTTTATTATTTAATTATGACTAATTGTTTTTTAATTATGATATTATTTTAATTATGACTCATGAGTTTTTTAATTATATTTCATGTTGTGTTTAGTTATAATAATTTTTTTTAATTATAACTCAAAGTGTGAAATTATAACATTTTTATTTTTAATTATGAGGGTGTGTACCATGATTAATGGCATTTTGACCAATTGATGGTTTCATTTTCCAATTTTGCATTTTAGTACTGTAAACAAATACAATCATACAAATGGAAAGTAAAATTTAATCATGTGAGGTCATTGTTCATCTTTTTAAATCAAAATTTATTGTATGTATTTTTATTTTTCTTAGTAATTGTCTATTTAGATAATCTATTAAAATGAGAACAAAAATAAAACTTTATCTAAACGTGGTATAATACGAGGATAAAAATATACTAATGTATATAATAATTGCACTAATGCTATGATATTTTGTTGCATTGAGAAAAAAAATGAATTCCCCGGAAAGAGATTACTCATGAAGGAAGAAGAATTAGGAACAATTAAAAAAGAGTAACACCATACAAATTAATAAATTTTATAATTTTTTTACTTATCAATTTGACATTTATTATATTATTATACTATGTTCATATTTGATGAATAAAAAAAATTAAAAAATTATTTATGTACATATATTTTAAAAATAAAGATGGCTACCGACGGTTGTAATCAAAGGTAGAACAAAATCATATTCAATTGCATGGTTTGGTGTAATTTTTTGGGTTATATATATATATATATTAATTTTAAAAATTTGTATCAAAGTGTTTAGTATAATTTATATTCATGGCTTATAAAACAAAAATAACTTAAATAAGTAAAAAAAAAAAATTAATTATCTAAAAATTGAAGAAAAGTTGTTCTTTATTTTTTATTATAAACTTTTTTTTTTTTTGATTCATTAAAAAGTTTAGGAGGAGGGAAGCTATCCCCAAGGGAAGCTATCTCCACTCCAGGACCAAAGAAAGCGTTACACAATATCATCCACCAACAAAAGATTGTCGGCAACGGTACTTGAACCTAAGCCAAATAGGCGAAGGGAACGAGCCTTACCAACTGAACCAACTCTTGTTGTAGTGCTGTAGTGCTGTTAGGCGGATCACCATAGAACTCACATCGATAATCCGAACCATTTAATATATAATGTTTGTTGAGTACTTCATCCCTATAAAATATCACATTGATAAAATATCGATAGCTATTTGATTAGATTACATTTTTATAAATAATTTGTTTTAAAAATCATGCTTATTGTTGACACAAATGTCATTTGATCAATTAGCTATCGAAATCCAATCAACGTAATTTTTTACAGAGATAAAATGCTTGATAAATCCTACATATTCAACGGTTCGAATTATCGATGCGCGTTCCTTAATAGACCAATAAAAATCTAACAGTACTCTTCAACTCAATTTAGAACGTAAAAAAGTTCTGACCTATTTTATAAACCTCTTTCTTTGTGATTACCTCGTAGTCATCGCTCTCCAAAAAAACATACAATAACACAACACATCTTTATGAGATCGATGTCAATGGAATGGTTACGTTCTAAAATGTATGTTTTCAAATTAAATTATATTATATATTATGAATGTTTAATATTTAAATTTATGTATGTTCAAATCAAAATAAACTTAAATGATAGGATTAAACAACTAATCTCATGTGCAATGCTGAAACATAGCTCCCATGTTTGGGGTCAAAATAAAGCATTTAGCTTTATTATTATTTTTTTAATCAATAATAAAACGAATATTATTGATATAATGCAACGAGTACATAAAAAAGTACAATCTACACATCGGCCCTGTTTGGTAGAGCTGTGGGAAAGTACTTATAGCTTTATGCCTAAACAGCTTATAGCTTATAACTTTCAGCTTAAACTGATTTCCAGCTTATTCTTAAAGCATCTCCTGACCCACTTAAAGAATAAGCTGTTTTCTGACTTCCACAAAGCTATAAGCTATAAGCTATAAGCTAAACCAAACACATCAAAATAGCTTAAATTAAGCTGAAAGCTGAAATAAGCTGAAATTAAGCTGTACCAAACAGGGCCATCATAAAAAAAAAAAAAAATCAAAATCAAGATGGAATAGGCCTAAGCTCACTTACACACAATAAAAAAAATAAATAAAAAAATAAAAAACTAACAAATCCCTCTCCATCTTCCTCGCAAAGTGATTCATTATCTTTTATTGGATTCAACAAATTAAAAGTGTGACCCAAAATAAAAATCTTCTTTTCAACTTATGTTTTCCATTTTTTTTGTTTGTTTGTTTAAAAAGGTCAATGACTCGGTCTGTGAGTTGTGTTTTTTACTTTTTTTTATTTATTTTAAGAATCTTTACCATTGGAGTGTTTAGTATATGAAGCTACCAAATGAATATTATGAATTTAGATTATCAAATTTCTTTTTTTTTAAAAAAAATAAAAATAACAAACTAACCAAAAAATGTTGAGTTTTGAAAAATTGAAGAATGGATACTTTTACTTTTCATGGTAAAACTATGCAGTTATAAATCACTCATTCTAGCAAGTTACATTAAAATTTTTAATTCTTGTCACTTAAAAGGTCAGAGATGCTAAAGGGAGGGACAAATTTGTAGGGTCCCACCTCCTCCCCTATCATATTAGAGAAGGGGACAATTTAATTTTGTAATTTTAAGAATGATGAAATTAATGAAAATGAGAGACGATATGATATATAATAAAAAATGATTTATAAATAATAAGAGTTAAAAATATATGATGAGAATTTTTTTTTTTTTAAAAAAAAATGAATGTTATGATAATATTTTGCTTTTTAATCTTATAATGTTCAAATTCGGGATGGGACTGCGACAAGGTGGTGAGAATGGAGTACGACGAGAGAAATTGCCATCCCTGGTAGTGAGAATAGAATACCCATATGCTGAGATGAGACGTGCAAAAACAACAAAAATAAAGTTGGTCAATTAAACAGACATATACCAAATAATATCATAATATATACTTTGTATCTTTTTGAGCAGATCAAGTTGAGGGAGGCCAAGTCATATATTGTACAATTCACATGTTCCGCCGTTTGTTTTTTTGTTGTTTGTCCAACGTTAATTCTATCTGTATATTATACATGTTACATAATCTATATATTTTGTTTTCTTCTCTCTCTCTCTAGTTTCCATTCCCATGCAAAATAAATATACTAATATCAATAGGCACAAGGTTTGTCTCTAGAGTCAAGAATTTTTTATTCTCATATTTTTTATTTTCTTGTTCTAATGTACTCTTATGTATTAAATCATTTTGAAATCTGGTGTAATGGAAATTTAGAAGTATGATCTAATGATAGAATGAGTGTATTGAAACATACGAACAAAAAAATTTAAAGATAGATTCTATCATAAAATCATCACCGCTATTTTATTATCTGGCACTAACATGTAGAGTCTATTGAAAATGCTCTTATGCAGATAATATGAATGTTTGTTAGCTAGCTTAGTCTTTTTATTTTTTTATCTTCTCACATTTTTTGGGGTTTTTCTTTACCAATTTTTAGTTTGGTATATATTGGATTGCTGGTGGTTGGGGAGGTTAGTAGATCCAGATCAAATTACCAGATGTAATTAGAATTAACAAAGAGAATCAAAATCAAAATCAAATCTTTGTTCTGACAAAGGCCTTATTATTAAAGAATTATATCAAAGTTGAATAAAATTTAATTTTAGATACCCCTAGTGTTAGATTGCCACCCATGAAAATGGGCTTAGTGGCCTATATTGAGAATCAAATGCCTTAACTGATATAACTGCAGTGAAAATTTACACATTAATAAATATTACAAAAGAAATTGAAAAAAGAAAATCAGAAAGGGCATTTTTGGAATCTTATTAGTGACCTAATTAAACAACTTCCAAACTAATGTAAACATTAATAGGTGAAGATACTTGATATATATTAATTGAGTTGTAGAGAATGGGTGGGTGTAGAAAGATATTTTCTAAAAGTGAAGGGTTGAGGCTGGTTTATTTAATTTTTTTAATGGGCCTAGAGGAAAAGTGAGTATTTAAAGAAATGGTTGGAGAGAAATTCTCACAGATTTTGGATTGGACATCTAACCTAATTAAAAAGAAATTGATCTTTAAAATTAAAAATAAAAGTTAGACGTGTATTTAGAACCACCTATAAAGAGATTGTCTCCCAAATACTCCAAGTTCAATAGAGAGCATTGGGGCATGGTTTAATGGTTTTGGGTTCAAGCTCATAGATAATCAAGCTTTTGGCATGTAACGTACTTAAATAAATGCATTAATAAACGGTAGTATTACATACACTAATTAGTGTATTAACACTAGTTATGACATTATTATTGACTTCACTCATTAATCACATTACAAATATCAAAAACCTCTTAAATTATGTCAGATCATCAATTGGTACACTAGTTAATGTACAAATTAGTGCATATATCATTATTCATTAATAAATTAGCCTTTTTTTTAAAGCTTGTATTTGCTTCTAAACTAACATTAATACATGATGTTTCACGAATCTTGTTATTGTTATGATGTTCTTGTATGTATTGTCATGCAATAATATATAATCTCATAATGCAGAGACACCCATATAGGTTTATTATAATTATTATTTATTATTTATTATTTATTTTTTATATTTGATTGTTAAAAGTATTTTTGTGCAGATTTGGCATGTTGTACTTGTCCTTTGTATTTTCACCATCAAAACAAATATCTTAAAGCATGCATATTGTTTATAATCCACTCAACCATGTATCACTTTTTAATGTTTAACACAATCAATCCACCTCATAAGTGGGCCATTGTGATGGACATTTTTCAAATTTAGAAAAAGAGAGCTAGGCATGGTGGACAGAATTGGTGTTCCATAAAAACCGAGGATCCTCACCAAACTCTTTTTTATACTTTTTTTTCACATTGAAAAAGCTTCAAAGAACGTATGTTGCAATAAAGAAATACAAAATTAATCAACATTCAAAAGTATAGTAAATATTTTATGAACACATTAAGAAGAAAATGCAGATTTAAGAACCATGATTTTGTTTAATACTGAGGATAGAACAACCATAATGGAGTGGTAACCTGTCATTATTCTGACTTTATGGTGATTTGAACTTTTTAGGTACAAAATCATTTGTTATGTCAAAGATTGAAAATTTTGAGATAAGAAGGTGAAATAATGTGTATATCTTTTTTCTTAGGTAATTTTGAAGAAAACTACAAGAATCTATACAAGGTTAGCATAAAGGCATGTTTGATGCATTAACATAACATGCTTGATCCAATAACATAGTTTAACTTCCTCCACCAAAAAAAAGAAAGGAAAGAAAGAAAAAAAAAGATGATTTGTTCATGATGAGAAAGAGAGAAAAAGAGTCTCACTGGAAGAGAAAGAGAAAGTGATTTCCTATTTTGAAGTTCTTTTTTTCAATATTATTACTATAGGAGATGTTACATATTTGTTTTAGAAAGCCTAGTTAAGTTGCATATTCCATATGAATCCATATGAAATTTATTTTACAACTATTTTATTAATTTAATCACATTAAAATAGTGTCTTGGGATTAGTAAAAATATGAGAAATACTATGAACGCTAGACGATTCAAAATAATAATAATAATAATTACATAGGATACACTCCTATATGGATTTAAAAGGGCAAGTCACTAATCTAATTTGGCATATCAATTTTTTTCTTAATAAATAACAAATCCTATATAAAACCCTATGAAAAAACCAATCTAAAATAGGGTGGATGTACGTGCGGATTTTGTTCCCTAAAGAGTAAAGTTTTTTTTCTTCTTCACCACAAAAGATAAAATATGTTATTTTAGTCACAACAAACAAAACATCACATCCAACCCATAATCATTATACTCTTCTCTCACAAAAAAAGTCAAAAAAGTCAAAAAATCCTTCCCAAACTAAGCTTTTTAGCCTAGGCTAAAACAGCCAAAAAAGCCAACCCATTTCCCAAATGGAGGTATATATCGCTTAAGTGCTTGAAATTCGTCTTTTTTTTTATTTTATAATTTTATTTTGAATAATTTACTAATGGTAGCCTATATGTTGAGTGAAAGTTTTTTTTTCGTAATTACATAAATATTCTTAGTCAATTATGCAACAGGTTTTTTTTCATAATTACATAAATATTCTTGATCAATTATGAAACAGATTTTTTCGTAATTACGCGAACATTTTTGGTCAATTATGAAATATAAATATTTTATTTTTAAACAAATTACAAATATACCCATAAGATTTATTTAAAATATGAATCGGTCGTATAATACTAGAAATTATAATTATCATTTGTTATAAATTTTAATTTAACACAATACTCAGGAAAAAAAAATATTTACCTATGTGTTGGCACTAAAATTTATTTTCTCTATCGAACAAGCGTAACAAAATATAGAGAGATAATCTAGTGAATGCTAGGGGTAAAGACCACGAATTT